ATGTCAAATTGGATGGCTTGGAGTGTGTCACAAAATTCAAAAAATTTCTTTTTGAACTTGGGGTTTAGTCAAGGACACTCTCACAACCATCTGATTTGAAACCCGCGGACAGGAAAGAGTGATTGTAATCTCCTTGTACTAAAAGTAAACGGTCTCTTTGTATACGTTTCCATATATTTATATATAAATATATATAAACTTTGATGCCCAAACCTCCCCCCCCCCCAAAAAAAAAAAATTAATAATAAAATAAAATAAAAATAAAAAAGTGTAGCTAGGCGCCCACCTAAACCAGGGCATCATGTTATCCAACAGGTGCATGCTATGTAGAGGCAATGCTAAATTAGTCCAACACATTTTCCTGCAATGTGAGGTTGTTTGGAAGATTTGGGCTCACTTCTTGGAGTCCTTGGAGCTCTTTAACATACATTGGGCCTCTTCAGGCTCAGTGGACAGCTTCAATGTTTCAGAAAATGCTAGGTAGCCCTAGGTGGATGGCCTGGAGCCCAATGCCTAAGCAGGCACCTAGAATCTCAAGCACCTTGAGGTGAAAGTTCTTCACATATATGTATGTGTTGTCCAAATGCACATGTATGCAGATATTTGCGTCAATTTTGTATTGTTTTGCATTTATACACAAATTCTATGCAAATACACATGAATGTTGACACACGTTCAAAACTTCAAATCGTTGAAAATTTAGTGAAAAAATAAACAAGTCCATAGTGTATTAGTCTCCAACTCTCCATACTCCATGGTGGCATACAATCATCACACACAATTACACACACATAGACATAGTCACGTAGATTTCGAGTCTCCAATAAGTGTATATTACTAAAGATAATTCTAATAAGAAAGGTTAAGTTTTTTGATGCTTCTTCAAACTTCACAATTTTTTCGGTTGCAAAAAAATTACAAAATCAATCAATTTGGGTGCTCTCAGGATTTAGGCATGGGTCAAAAAGACCCAAATTGCCCTCACAAGCCTTTTTGTCTGGTCAAAAGGACACAGGCCCTGGGCGATGGGTCCCACCTAGTCGGGCGGCTAGGAACTAGTACCTAGAGAGGGCTGCCCTGGCTTAGGCATGCGGCGTAGGGCCCTTTGGGAGCCTAAGCACTAGGCAGCCCATTTTTGAAACACTGACAGCCTCTTCAGTTACTTCTTTTCCCAAAGCTATGGCACATACTATTTTAGCCATTGTCTGGGGTGTTTGGTTCGTGCGCAACACTACCTTACCGAATGCGCTTGATCGACACCATCAAGGCTGATTTCATTAGCTTTCTCGGCAAACAATTGACCTCTTGAGCAATTGGAAGGGATGGTTCACAGCAAATCCTATACTTCGGGGGCTCAATCTTCCAACTGGATCAGTCCAAGGCAAGGTGCTGTAAAATCGAACTTCAATGGGGGCATCATTCAGCAACCATGGCCTGGATGGAATTTGGGGTGCTTTTAGAGATCGCCGTGGTAATATCTTATGTTCATTTCCAGGAAGTGCTGGTATCAGTGATGCAACAACAAGAGAGGATCTAGAACTTGGGCATCTCAGAAAGGTCGATGCCCTTGGCACCTCAGCCAATATTTTTGCCGAAACTTTTGATCGACTACAGGGAATTTCTCCTTCCTTCTCCCATGTATCGTGATAATCTATCTACTCAGCAAACTCTGTCGCTAAGGAAGGGAGGGAAGAAGCTCTACCTCTGTGGTTGTTAATGACATAGTCCACAGTTTTGTAAGAGCTTTTAGTGCACAATTGGTATGGACATTTGTGTACACATTTTAATAAGTGTACATCGTTTAGAAATCGCAATTTTGGAAAGTTTTCATCAAGCAATGAAAGATAGTCGACCTTCAAAAAAAAAAAAAATTCTTCCACCAATGTACATTTTAATCACACATATTACTCCTCCAAAAAGAGTCAAATGAAGTTCCGAATTTTTTCAGAAATAATTCCTGTTATACCAGGAAAATAGCACAGTCAAAAATATTATTTAATGTTCCTTAAGTTCGCAGTGAAAACGCTATATATGTAGAGATGCAACAAATCCATCAAAATAACAACAGCAACAACAACAGTAGAATTAGTAACAGTATTTGTATTTGAATTAATAAAACTGGAACCACCAAAAAGTTCATAGAAAATGATTTCGTAGATTATTATAGATAAATTTCATTCAGTACCATCACGGTTCCATGACCCATTATAAGGCTAGCATGGTGACAAGAAAAAAGAAGCACGATGACATACCAAATATGTTCATTCCAAGTTGCGCATATATTGGGGAGAAGAACCCATCCACGAAATGAATAAACCACCAAGTAATATAGAAAGTGATGGCTATCGGAAAAAGAATGACACTGCAATACAATGAAGAAGAGTTTGTTCATAGGACAGCTATAAAGAAACAGTTGTAGAATAGCTACAAAGGGCAGGTTATTCACAAATATTCATAATAATGCATCAAACTAATTAATTTCTTCGTAGATTCCAACTAAAAGTTTCAGTATATTAGGGAAAAGGTTACGTTAGTGTGGTTTATGTCTGGACCATCAAACTATTTAAATTCTTCAAAGAAGCCATGTTAAACTTTTAGCTCAAGAAAAGATTCAGTCAACTTGAATTCCCTCATGTGAAGAAGAAAAGGAACACAGATCAGTGCGGCCCATGCATCACCTGGACCATCAAACTATTTAAATTCTTCAAAGAAGCCATCTTAAACTTTTAGCATATCAAGAAAAGATCAAGTCAACTTGATTTCTCTCATGTGAAGAAGAAAAGGAACACCGATCAGTGGGGCCCATGCATCACCCAAAATACACAAAATTTCTAGGAATGAAATTCAGATTCACCTCATGAAAAAGTAGCAGGTAACCCAGTTGTTCCTCTAGCTCTCTAGACATAGCCCACACATTCAAAATTGGATCCCAAGAATTTTAATCCGTTCCCCTACATGGATCATGTCAGCCAAAAGCAACACTCTAGGTGGTGCCAGGATGCCACAAACAAACCAGAATGCGGACCTCTCAAAACCCCTAACCAACAAAGTACTGAACATAATTCAAAACCAAAACAACCCATTTTCTAATTTCTTCTGCCGAGACCCACTTCCTTGACCTAAATAACCATTGCAACATGACGCCAACTCTAATTGGAAAAACAAAAAGTAACCTGCCTAAACTCATCAATCTCCGAGTCCCTCAAGTTTATCCTATAACATGAACACCACAGAACCCTTCCCCCACAACCAACTTATAGCATTCTCTAGTCCGAAGCCTCAGGAGAAGAAGCCAGGCCACTAATGAACACAAACATAATCCATGCTCCCCCGTACCACAACAAAAAGCCAATGTGTCCAACAAATTTTTTTTTTGAGAGTGTTAACGTTTAATAAGTAGATAAAAGAGTACAGCGAGATATCAAGAATGGGCTATCCACAGAGCGAATAGCTCCATATACAAAAAGCCCTGCTGAAAATGGGAGGAGAGAGAGTGTAGAATAAAAAAGCCTTCTTTACAAAGGTTACAATGACATAGAAGCAAAAACGTCCAACAAAAATTTGACCATGATACTATTCCCCATTCTAAACTTCATGCCTCTTCCAAATATGACTATATTACAAGTCCCTCCAGCTAAAACTATATTATCATTGTCCACAGTAATAATGCTTCTATTCCAATACCCTTGTAAACCTGTCAGCTTCAATGTGTCTAGACCACAAATTCCCAGACTCTTCTCATAGAATAGCAAGGCAAAATCTTTTCTTTTCTTTCTTTTTTTCATAAATGTTAACTTGCAAGCAAAAATCAGTTGATAAGCACAAAGCCCAGAACAGCACAAACACAATTGCTAGAAATGAATGACTCGACTACAGTGAGGATGTTCACCTATTGCCTGTCCAATATCAGCAGTTCAATTAACATGTGACCAACTTGAGTCTAAAATACATGTATATGATCTATTTGAGGAACTTAGATGTATTAACTCGAGGTGTAAGTTTCTAGGGCAAGAGAAACCATAATTGCATACTAAACAAGGTCGGAGCAAATTACGAAACAAGTATTAGGGTAGTGGTACAATATATGCGATATATCTAAAGAGAAAATCTTCAATAATTGTAATAAAAAATTTCAATATGCACAAAGGCCAGGCAAAAGAAAATCGATGTTCAATGTGCAGATGATATTGCTTCATTGATGACTTATTGTGAATTGATCAAGAGGCAATGTTCAGCATAGAAAAGCAATTCCCACTACAATATAATACTACAAGTAACGTTTTCAATGGACTATATATATATATATATATATATATATATAGACTA